GCCAGTGCCAGAACAGGGAGACAGGCTGCACTGCCAGAAGTCCCCAGGGGATCTGGCCCATACTTGTTCTCCCAGGTCCTGCTGGATGAGGCAGGTGATCTCTTCCTGCTCCTGCACTTCCAGCTTCTTCACGAAGAACAGGCGCCTCCACCACTCGGCACGGCTCAGGGTCTCTGCAGCCTTGGTTGGCTGCTCCCCCAGGTAAGGCAGGGAGTACAGCCCCCGAATGCCCCTAAATCAGCCATTCTCCCTTCCAGTTTTACTGGAAGACACGCATGTCACACATACAAATGATACTAGGATCAGATCCTATGTCAAATTTGTCATATCCATTACTAGTGAAAGAGCTCATGTGGACCATCTGGGCAGAAGAGGTCCCTGCTGTCCCACAGCTTGCTGTGGGAAAGGGAGTTGACAGGAGGGCAGTCAGACAGGGGGAACATGCTGTAGAGATGGGGATTCCCATCTCATTTGAACCTCTTGGGAGAAAGCACACGCTCAAAATGGGCACCTCTGGCTCACTGCTCCCCCAACCTGTTCCCACAGTGCCTGGACCAGCCAGGGCAACGCACTCGGACATCCAGCCCCGGAAGAACCACAGTGCCAGCGTGCAGCTGCAGAAGGGCTGGGGAGAAAAGCTGCAGGCCCAGCTGACAGGCTGCTCACCTGCCGCCAGTTTGTGGCTGTATGTTAGGGTGGACACCTTCTCCTGGCCCTCATGCTCCTCTTGCCCTGAAGGGCCAATGATCTCCACCATGTGCCAGTGAACCCAGTATGTACAGCCCAGGGCTTGCCAGTACACCTGAGGAGAAGAGCCCAAGACACACAGAGCTGAGGGAAAGCAAGACCAACCCCACTGCTCCCATGCAAGGCTGCAGGCTTCCTACAGCACAACAGAGCAGACAGGCGTGTCGACAGCCCCTGCCCTCCCAGCAGAGGATACCTGCACAGGCGGAGTGCCATCGTTGCTCTGGCGGAAGTCACCCTCGTCACCCGCGCTGACCTGCTCGTAGTCCTCCAGCATGCGCACCCGCATACCACGCACCAGGTTCGCCTGCACATACTCCACGTAGCTGCTGCGGCTTGGGAAAGCTGAGCGTGTCTTGAAGATGCTGGGCTCTTTTGGTGGGGGAGTGGGGGCTGCTTGAGTAGCAGTGCAGGATGTGGCCCTGTGCTGGAAGATGGAGCGGGTGGTGCGAGGCCGCAGCTCCTGTTGCGGCAGCAGCTCTGGCTTGTGGCTGTGGTCCCAGCCCATCACGTGCACCAGCTCCAAGATGAGGTTTGCCATAGCCATGCTGAACTCAAACTCCTGCTTCACACGGCTCCTCTCCTCAGTGAACGGGCCGGGCACAGGGCAGTCCTGCTGCTCCCCTCCCTGCTCCATGCCGCTGCTGAGCTTGTCCATGAGAGAAGTGACACACAGGTAGCGCTTCACCAGGACGAACAGTAGCTTCCCGGGGATCTGCAACAAGCACAGCTGTCAGACTCTACCCTGCAGAGCACCTCCAGCCCCTGACTCTCTCCGAGCCACCAGCTCATCCGCAGTCAGGCTCCCGAGATAGCTCCGGACCAGCAGGCAGCAGCAGAGACCTCTCAGCCCACCCTCCTCTCCCTGCTCAGAGACAAGGCTCTCCGTGTGCCTCTCCACCACCACCCAGCCTCACACCAGGCCCAGATCCTGTGCCAGCTCTCCCAATACCCAGTCCTGCTCAGCTGACCACCCTCCTGTCCCAAACAAGGACACCAGCTCTG